TCGTGTTAGATCTCGAGGGTGGAAACCAGCTAACAAGGTACCCGCTTCGGACAGGAGATATACGACATTTCTTGATTTAAAGATAAAATCTTTCATGAGAGAGCTGTCTAGGGCCTAAGAAGGAGTTAGGGGAAGCGGGAGTATACACCCATTTTTACTGTGCATCAAGTGAGAATTTTTGGAAAGCTGTTTGAGGAGCTAAAGGGACCCTGGACCCGGCTTCCAGGCAGATAAGGATTTATTTGGAACAGCTGATTCAGGAAGGAGACGATATTCAGAAGCTAAACTGGCTGAGGCTGCCAGGATAACTCCGGGTTGAATTGTGAGGTCCCCGGCCCCGATTTAAATTGCTCTAATAAAGTTATATGCTTTCCAAAAAAAAAAAAAAAAAAAAAAGGAATAGAAACAGAAAATACTGAGATATGGGGCAGCAGCCTCTTCACCCGTTTCCAGGCGCCCTGGTGACATGCAGAAATCTAAAATTTTCCAGGCTACTCATGTGTTCAATCAGGAAGCTTTTTTTTTTTTTTTTTTTTTTTTTTTTTTTTTTTTTTTTTTTTTGTAACAACAACAACAGTTAGGTAGCTGTGCCGGGGACCATGGCAGATAGGACCGCAGTCTTCTCTAGTATAACCCCAGACAACTACACAGCCGTGTGGGGGGCGGATTGAGACAGATGGGTGCAGTTCCTTCCGTACACAACAGTTACAACAGACAACCACGTAGTTGTGCAGGCAGCAAAGGCGTATTGTCTCTCCTCCCGCTTCCCCCGTGCCTTCTTATCCTCTTTTTTTTTTTTTTTTTTTTTTTTTTTTTTTTTAGAATAGCCTATGAGGGATGCTGCGAACCTGGTCATGGTAAGACACGGATGTACGAGGTAGCTTCAGAGAAGTAGAGTGGAGCAGAAAGGATTCGTTTGGATGACCAGGGCTTGGTGTGTCACTGTGATTTTTGGGTGGGGTTCGTGGCGAGTACGCCATGGGATATGATTTTTAACACACACACACACACATACACACACACATAGTACCCCAACGAAAACTCTAGTAATGATACTCAACGGGGGAACGGGGGAGGAAGAGGGGGGGGGGGCGGGACGGGKGGGAAGGGATGTAACGGATGTATCCTGCTCCATGTTGCTTGTATAGAGATAAAACTGTTTCATTGTCTGCAACAGAGGTAAAGATGCATCGATTTTGGATGTCCTCATCTGGGCGGAACAAGGGCTGTTATGGTGAAGATCTAAAATACACCCTCACACGCCCACGCGGACACACACACAAGCACACACACACACACACACACACACACACACACACACACACACACACACACACACAAACACACACACACACACAACCACACACACACACACAAATGCCTACTGAATTCCCAATCAGACGCTGAAGAAGACCGAAAAATGTAGGGAAGAGTAAATGAAAGTGTCAGGGCTTGTGTACTGTGTAACCTGAAGTGCCTTGTCTGGGACACTGGGGGATCAGCAGGCTCAAAGCCTCGAACCATTCTAAAAATAGGAACAGAATTGACTTGAAGCCATTCTGATCCAGTCACAATCATATTCCTAAAGCATACCAAGCAAACAAAAAAAAACAAACAAAAAAAAAAAGAACAATGGTCTTATCCTCCAAGTGTCTGACCGTAACATGCACAAAAGACAAAAATGATGGCAGTGTATTCCAATCCCATCTACACTTGTGACTATCACCGAAAACATGTGTCGATCTCAACAAAGGACAAGGTAATGGGTACGAAGTTACGAACCCGCCCTTGTTCTTATCATAGAAGAAGCTATCACAATTCAAGACCAGGGGTAAGCATGAAAAACACCGGGCCCTATGCATTTGGGTCCCCTACTACGTTTAGGGTGACCCGCGTCCCCTATCTGCCTTTTCGACATTTAGGTGCACGGAGGCAGAATCCGGAATTGTGAGCCCCAACCAACAGGCCTACCAGTATCTCCATTGGTACGCCGACTGTAAGTAAGCCGGCAGAGGCTTGACAACCGCGACCTGGATGGACGCCGTGTGAATGATCAATCAAATCTGCGTTCCCGTGTGAATGATCAATCAAATCTGCGTTCCCATGTTCTAGCGAAAGATTCATTCTCATTTTGCACATTTGGCGAGTAGTGGACGGCGGGCCACGAGAAGTATCCCATCAGAACTCAGGGCTTCGCTGAGCTACTCTCACAGTGCACAAAAGACAAAAAATTATGGCGCTGCATCTTTCCATGTTCTAGTGGAAGAGTCATTCTCATTTTGGACAATCAGGGAGTGGTGGAGCCAGGCCCTTACATGTGCATCGTATTGAATCTATTGATATATCGACAACAAGCAGTGACGTAAACCACAACGCAATCGGAACAGCAGCAATAATTTGCTCACACGACACGCTCTCTATGCAATGACAATGTCAAAGATGTCTTGATACAGAAAACATTACCTCTTTATGCCTCCATCTCCAAATAACAACAACAGTGAAGTTCGATAGTGATGCCGGTTTTCTCTGCTATCATCCATCCAATGTGAGATCAGACATGCCAGGATCTAGCCTACCACTACCGCAAGCCTATTCGGCTACCGCCACTACCATACTGTACATTCAGAATCAGGGTGCGTTATGTTCGGGGGGGAAGACGTTAGACGTTAGCCAGTCAACGCTGCTCAGCACAACGCTGTCCGACCCCCCCCCCCCCATAAACCAATCACACAATGGGCATCACTGGATCCCCAATGTGTGGCTTCCTCCTCGCTCTTTTCTTGATCCCCCTCACATCCAAGCAGCACTTGCTTGGCACTCAACTCTCTCCTCACTCCCACTCTGTTACTCCGCTCATGGCACTGCCGCTCTCACCCTCGCCCTCTCCTCTTCCCCTCGGGCTGCTGGCACTACCCTCCTATAGCCTCAGTGCTGTCCTCGCCTAAGCGGCCTGGGTGGCCAGCAGCTGTCCTGACCATTGCCCTGGCTGGAGCACACCCCTCTCTTTCATAGGAAACAAGCCTGGTAGACCAGTAGCAAGGCCTACTGGGTCCAGCGCAGATTTTCTAAAAAGCCCCGGCGGGTGTAACCTGATGTGACAAGTACCTTGGCCAGCGCGCAACTTCCCAGACTGAGGCGAAGCAGCCGCAGGGCCTCGGAGAGGTACCAGGATCTCAGAGCAGTGCTGGCACCCACAGGTTTTCCTCACCGTAGTGGCTTGAAGCACCAGTACACCACATATCGGCCCGCGGGTGTCAGCACGAAACCCGCACCACTTCCGAGGCCGCCGCCGATTTTGTTTTTCAACGCCGGGCCTGGCCGCACGCCGTCTCCAAGTTTTGCTTGTGGCGACAAAAAACTTTCTGCAAGGCTGGGGCCATGTACTAGCGGTTTAAGCCACCCGTACCCGCCCACCCAGCTCTCCGCAAGTATCCCGCTCAGCTATCCGCGAGGATCGTGCTGGTGGTTTTAAGGATTACCAGCCCGGGGCAAGGTCCCACTTGCGCAAATTAGGAGATTTGGGCCGTTGATCTTTGCTATCTACGGTCAGTACTCTTAATTCGTGCAAGTGGGACCTAGCCCCCAGAGTCTTCCGTCGAGGGCCTGCCAAGCACCACTTCCTTTCATGTTTCGCTCTTTCCTCTTTGAGCACGCTTCAAAGGAGGCGGCAGCTGAGAGGAGAGGAGGTGGACGGGCCTCACTCTTCTGTCAGGGCGTACAGGACGGTGTGACCGTCCATTTTTTGGTTTTTCAGAACTTTTCCTCATTCTTTGGGTCGGATGGAGGAGGTGGTTGAGGTGGGCGGGGGCTCGGGAGGGATCCCTCAGTCTTCCGTCAGGGGCCGACTACCAGACAACAGCGTTTCCTTTCATTCTTCTTTCGTCCCTTGTTTCTTTGGGTTGGCAGAAGAACCGCAGAGGGAGTGGAGGGTGGGGGGAAGAACACGTAAGCACGACCTGATCAAGCTTGTGCCTTGTGCAATCACCAGCCCTTTTCTTAGACCTGCAGGGCTGGCCATAATTGCAGTCAGCTACAAGGGGGGGGGGGGAACTGCAGTCAAGAGTCTGTCAGCCATATCCAGGAGAGTCAAAAGGACTCATTCTTTAAAATTAAAAAAAAAAAAAAAAAAAAAAAAGGGTGACGGCCTTGAGATATCATCATTGAGCTGACAGGCCCCAGGCAATTCAGAAATACTTGGTTTTACAGCCTCATCAAGCCAAGTTCCTTCATCTGGGTTCGAACCCGGGTTTGTATTTCAACAGTTCAATGGTGTACCCACTGAGCTAGGCTCTTGGGTAAAAGGACTCATTCACGACTAGTATGCTTGTCCTTAGTATGTATCTGATCCATCATCGGGATTCGAACTCATGAACCGTCTATTAAACCTCCGGTACCCCAGGGGGTCTTAGGCCCCCTCTGGGGAGGCTCTTACACAAATGTACCCCAGGGGGTCTTAGCCCCCCTCTGGGGAGGCTCTTACACAAATGCATATGGACCCGCGATTCGCCACCAGTTAGATGTGTGTAGCACTGTGTACCATTCAGTTCAGTCACAGGAACAGTATGCTTGTCCTTAGTTGTTGTGGGAGAACTTGAATTTGCACTTTGGACACTCATAGAAGACCGTCTGGCCTTCGTCGGCGGATCGCAACTGCAAGGTATAATATTCCATTTCCGGATTCCCGCACTTGGGACATTCTTCGTCAACCGTCGCCCTCTGCCTCTTGTTGTCCTTCTCCTCGTCCACTCCCACAAGCTCTGCTGCGAGAGGCACGAGTGGATCCACACCATATCGTCTCAGAAAGTCCTCCGGTCCAATCTGGCCAGTCAGCTCCAGCGTCTGCAAGCTCTTGATTTGGCGGCGGAACCCGCAAAGAGCACACTTGGCGG